AGAAATGAACAAAATGGTTTGTGAAATGCATAAAATAGCACAACAAACAAATAATCAAGTAATAAAAAACAGATATAAACAGTTTAAAAACATATATAATCAATCCGTAAATAAAGCAAAACGGGAATTTAATAATGAAAGGCTCCTAAATGCAGATAATATAGGTAAAGAATCGTGGAAAATAATAAACGAGCATAGAAAGTCAACGTCAAAACCTACAATAGAATTAAATATAAATGGTGCAATTGTTAGCGACAAAAAAGATGTAGCAAATCAGTTCAATACATTCTTTACAAACATAAGTAAACCACCAGTTACAAAGGGGGACCAAAAATTATCGCCTCTTGTACCTCACACGTTCTTTCTACAACCTATAAATCAATGCGAAACCCAAAATATTATTAATAAGGTAACAAAAAAACATGCACCAGGGATTGACGAGATCAATGGTGTAGCACTAAAAATGGTGAGCGATGTGATTGCCCAACCACTAACCTTCTTAATTAACCAATCATTCTCAACAGGACTGTATCCAGAACAGCTAAAAGTATCAAAGTCTGTACCTATATATAAAAATAAAGGATCAAAACAAAACGAATGCAATTACAGAAACGTGTGTCTTCAGTCACAAATTGCAAAAATAATTGATTACAGCTTCTATGTTAGACTCGAAAATTTCATTCAAAAGTATAATCTAATACCAAACTGCCAACATGGATTTAGGCCTAAGAAATCTACAAATACAGCAATAGAGGAACTTTGTAGTAAACTAATAGAAGAGCTGAATAACAAGAAGCACACGATTGCCATCTTCTTCGACTTGACACGAGCATTCGATACATTGGACCATCGGCTATTGGTGGAAAAATTGAACAGAATAGGGGTTAGAGAAGTATCAGGTAATTGGGTAGAGTCTTATTTACAAAACAGATACCAAGTGGTTTGTATTGACTCAGTAAAGTCTCACCCTGTGAGGGTACCGATGGGGGTACCACAAGGCTCGACACTGGCACCTCTGCTATTTATAATATTTATGAGTGACATAGTTCATACATGTAATACACCTGAAACAACAGTTATATATGCAGATGACACAAGCGAAATAGTGGCAAAACAAAATATACACATGGCACGAGAAGCCGCAGCCAAGGCAACAATGGAGTTTGCAGACTGGTGCAGAGCAAATGGGCTTTTGGTCAATGTAGGCAAAACAGTATTCATGACATTTCTGCCTAATAATGTTAAACATGATTACTCCATGTTGATAAGACTTAACAACAAATCCATTGAACAAGTGAACCAGCTTAAATATTTAGGAGTAATTGTGGATCATAAATTTACATGGGAGGCTCACACTAACTATATTGTATCAAAGTTAAGCTCAATGTGTTTCATCTTCAGGCAATTATATAATACCGCAAGCTTACCAATACTTAGGCTAGCCTATTATGGTCTAGTACAATCTACATTATCATATGGTCTGTCATTCTGGGGTAACTCCTCTCATATGGGAATAGTTTTCATAATGCAAAAGAAGATAGTAAGATGTATTGCAGGTCTGCCCTATGGAGCACACTGTAAAAATGCCTTTAAATATTTGTCAGTACTAACATTGCCATGTCTATATATATATTTAATAACCCTGAATATAAAAGCAAATGAATCGAAATATGTAAGAAGTAATATGATACATCAATATAATACACGTGGGGAGAATGAATTTCTAACGCCATATTCGCGATTAGGTATTGGACAGAACACGGGGAATTACCAAGGCATTATTTGTTATAATCACTCAACCAAGATAATAGGTAACTGCAAATATAATATATTTAAAGATAAATTAAGAAAGTACCTAATCGAGAATGCATTCTACTCAGTTGGAGAATTTTTGGATGCCATACCAGGAGTAAATAATACAACTTAAACTTGAAAATTTTATTGTAAATTTTTATTGTAATTAAATTCTTTACTTAATTTTTATAACAAATTTTAAATCTGTTCTGTTGTAATGTTACATGGATAAATAGGTGGATGGAAGTAGGTAGATTGTGTCTAGGTGTGCATGGAGGTGTGGATGTTAAATTTTAATTTTTTTACTATAATTTTTATTGGGACTAGTCTGTAAGTTTTATAATATTATTAGAAATGATAATAATTTTAAACTTGTAAAGATACAATAAATAAATATGAAATATGAAATATACAAGAAATTAAAGAGAACACCTATTTATCCTGTACAAAACTCATAGAAATAATAATTAATCTAATTAAAGCACTAAAACAAAATTATTACAAATATCTTATTAATAAAAACCAACTTAATAAAAAAAAAATATGGGAAATTATAATTAAATACACAAACAAACACACAAATAGCAATCGAGCAAACCTGAAACTAATAAAAAGACAATTAGCGCAATTAGCAAGATTTTAGCAATTATTATTCAAATGTGAGAAAAAATATGGCAGAAACAATTATTTCTAATAAATTCCCAGAATACAATATTCACATGCTAAATATAACATATTGAAACAATTTTTCTAAAACCTGTTACTGAAAGAGAAATTATGGATATTGTAGTGTTTCTCAGAGATAAAATTTCTTCTGGCCCTGACAACGTTTAACAGTAAAGCTCTTAAAAGAAATAAAAAATGAAATATCCCCGTACTCAAATATTTAATCAATGAAATGTTCCAACAAGGTATCTGACCCTCTTCATTTAAACAAGCAATAATAAAACCAATATACAAAATAGGTTGAAAACTATAGACCTATTAGTTTAATTTCAAATTTGGCTAAGAATCTTTAAAAAATCATTTAGAACAAGACGAACTAACTTTATAAACCAAAATAATTTACTTAATAGGTAGTTTTACAATTTGGATTCCGAGAAAATAAATATACAAATGATGCAATAGCTGTTTTAAAAGAAAAGATTACGAATAGCCTAAACATGGGCGTCGTTACACAATTCTATAGGGAGGGGCAAAATTTTGAAAAAAAAATTAGAATGTTTATTAGTTGGAAAACAAAGAAAATTAAAAATATAAGAATACAAATTAACAAGTCTCTAATAAATAAAATAACCCAACAAAAAAGACAAAAACTAAATTAAAAAAAAAAACAAGAAACCTAAAATACATTTTTAAAAAACAAACAGGTGTGATATAAAAGAAAAATATAAACAATAAAACACAGACATACATAATAGTAAAAAAAAATAAAAATTTATAAAAACACAAAAAAATAAAAAAAACTCACCTCAAACACGTTGACGAACACAAAAAAAACACTAGGAAAATGCAAATTTTTAATTTCTTTTTTTTTCTACCAAAAATATCGATAACAGAAAACATAATTTCTTTATTTGGTTTTTCCGATTATTTTTGGATGTACGCTTACGCTTATCATGTATAGCCCAGCCAGCCTATTTTTATGTATTATTTGTTCCGTACGTGACAGCAGCGCCAACTATTTTATCAACTAACGGACGATATTTGCATATACTGACAATAGAATTTTTAATAGAATTCGTAACTAAAAATATATATGTTGATTTTAATAAAAGTATATGGATTTGTAAAACAAGTGAAAAAATTAATTTTTTATTATTAATATATATTTTTATTATTTCAGCTAAAAAAAGTAGTATAATCAATAATAAAACATAGGCAGGTATTTACGAGAAAATGTATAAGATGTTGCCTAAGCCTAATAAGTTGTCGTTGAAGAATAGATTCAATAATGTAAAAATAAAAACATTACCATTATATAATAAATTAGAATCAAAACGTATTAACAAAAATAATTGGTATATTTGCGATTGTAATTTATATTTTCTTTATTTTGAGGTCGAAAGAACCTATAGAAATTAATGATTAAAACTGATTTCTTATCAATAAGTCACAAGATTGCACTTCAGTCATATATAATAATCAAAGGCAGACATCTATTACTTGCTAAACATTTAAGATTTAAGGGATATTGAAGAACATCATAAAATAATATTTTATTGTTTATTTAAAACCTTTCAATTTTCTGATGTCTATTATTTCCACTATTACTGTTGTTATTACAAAAGTAAAGATTCTTATTATACAGCTATCTATTTATTTGATTTAATTTCCATTTTGCTACTGAAAATTTATATAATTTACAGTTTTTTGCTAGTATTTTTACAACATAGTAACTCCGGTTGCTCATTTTATTGTTTTTACCTATTTTTTAAGAAAAAAGTAAAATGTATACGTGTATTTGATACGCCAAAATTACAAAATATCACCCTAGAGTACTCGAATTAACCGAAGCTTGCGCTAGTATCGCTTTTACTTCCCCTGCCATGACTTCGCACTGAGCGAATAGACCGCAGCCATGTTTTAACATGCCTTAGGGTTCTTTCGATTGACGCTGTCGTTGGTGGAAGAGTCATGAATATTTTTAAAGCTCTTTGTATGTCTGGATAAAATTCACAATGTTTAGATGCTATATCAATAATGGAGAGCTCATTGTGTGCAGAAAGCTCTTTCGTACTCCAGTTAGCTATCCATGTAGATGAAAACAATCTATAGGAAATGGATACTGTCAAATAATACTTAGTATCGTCTTCTGTGGGCAGACGCCTTGTTACTAACATCTTTTAGATTTAAACACCCATATAATTATCCTTTTAATCTTCTTAAACTTTTTTTAATTTTTTTTTAATCTTTTTTATTTTTCGAATAATGTTTTATATTAAGCGTTACTTAGACATTTTATGTACACCTACTAATGTACTGATGTAAACAATATATTTTAAAATGAGGTAAAATTTGCAATCAAGCTTAGGCTTATGCAGTAACCAGTTTATTCATATTTATATATTGTTTGTATCTTTTGTTTTTTATTTGTAAATTTTATTATTCTGTGAATAAACTTCTATCTATCTTTATATCTGTTAAACTAAAATGTAGCAAAGAAAATCAATTAAATTGGTAATAACTCTCAATTATTGTTTCAGCTTACTCGTGTCATGGTCGATGGGAAGAAAATGGAACCAATTTTTTGATCACATCGCCAATGGGCCATGCAACTTATGGTGCTCGTAAATTTTGTTTTATGTACAAAGAATTGATATCAGGTGTCATGTTTTCCACGTCGTCTGAAAATTGTAATCGTTTGGTGAAACCAGGCATTAGCGGAGAATTAATATTTAATATAAGTAGCACAGGTGAGCAAAATTTTGAATTTTAATATGAAGCAAATTCAGAAAATAATTTGCCCGCGACTAAAATGAAGGTAGTAGAACCTCGATAATCCGAATTCCTGTAATCCGAACGCTCGATAATCCGAACGTCGTTTTGGAAAAAACAAAAATAGTATGTAATTAGAATCGCTCTCTAACTGCTTCAGTAAACAAAGCATCACCATAGTAAACATTGTATCATATGTGTTGTTATTGTACCTGTGTTGGTTTTAGCCTTCAGTCGCTTTCTATAACTGCTACAGTAAACAGAGCATCACCGTAGTAAACATTGCATCGTGTGTGTTGTTATTGTGCCTGTGTTGATTTTTATTTTCGAAATTCGCTGTTTAATGAACCAGTGAAACATTACTTGTGTACTGTAATTTCAAGTAAAATGGCTTCACAAGCGTCGTTTAAAAGAAAACACAAGACACTGAACATAGAGGATAAACTTAAGAAAGGTGAAAGCGGAGCAGCATTAGCCCGAGAGTTTGGTGTCAATAAGTCTACAATTACGGACATAAAGTCTTGAGGATGCCTTATTTTTATGGTTTGAGATTAGGTGAACCAATATCAGGCCCGCTTCTTTGTGAAAAGGCTCTAGATTTTAATAAACAACTTAATGGGCCTCCTGATTTCAAGGCCAGCAGTGGGTGGCTGGCCTTCATGTTCAAGGGGAAATGCTATCTGGTGATTCTGCTACTGCAGAATCGTTTATAAAAACTTATTAAAACATTACTCTTGATAAGCAATTGTCAAGGGATGATGTTCATAACGCTGATGAAACTGGGATAAATTGGCGCTCCTTTCCGAGAAAATCTCTTGCATCTCGTAATGAAACTCGTGCTCCTGGCTACAAAGTGAGCGGCACGCATTCTCTTCCTTTACTGCTGATTGGTAAAAGCAAAAAACCTCGTTGCTTCAAAAATGTGACATGCCTTCCCGTCATTTATAGGGCACAAAAGAGTTCATGGATGACGATATTTTTCTTGATTGATACTCTAACACTTTCATAGCAGAGGTTAAGAAATTTAGAGAAAGTCGGGGGAAAACTGGAAAAGTTATGTTGATTATTGACAATGCCCCCAGATATCCTGATATTGACCGCTGGAACAGCATTGACAACAACTTTACTGTCATGTTTCTCCCACCTAATGTGAGAGCCCTCCTCCAGCCAATGGATCAGGGCTTAATTGCCTAAATGAAAAAGATTTACAGAAAAGAGGTGCTTCGGCGGCTACTTCTAGCAGATCGAAATGAAGAAAGTGTGATTGAGTTTACAAAAAAATTAAATCTTAAAGACTGCTGCTACATGTTTCCTGAAAAAGCCTAACTGAGGGAAATCTAATGAAAGCTTGGAACAAACTTTGGCCAAAGCCAGCTATTAATGAGAACGAAAATAACGAGGGACCTGAACCTGAGCTTCTTGAAGAAACCGCCGATCTTTGCAATGTAATTCCTGGCTTTGAAGAGTGTGACCCGGCTGATGCAACAGAGTGGCTCAACAGTGATATTAATGAGCATGGTTACCAAATCTACAATGAAAACGAGATCCTGCCTCTTGTCACGGAAGTCAACGAACCAGAAGACAGCAGTGATGATAAATACGCTATTGATTCGGGCCCATCCCATGCCGATGCGTTCAGTGCTCTTGAAACGGCAATGAACTGGTACGAAAAACAACCTGAATGCTGTTTACTTCAGTTGATCACGCTAAAGAAAATTCGTGATTTAGCAGCCAAAAAACGTTCTTCAACTTTAGTTCAGAAAAAAATTAGTGACTATTTTTCGAATGTTCTTTGTTGAGTTTTTTGTTTTCTTTAATTTTTTTATCTTTCTGTACAGTATAATTTTTTTGTGTGTACAGTACTGTACTTTCTGTGTGTGTATAAGATTGTATAGTAAAAATATTACGAAATTCATGTGCAATACATTACATAAAATATACCTTACTGTACCCTACTTACTGTACCTTACTGTACCCTACTGTAGCAAAGTAGTATTTCATAAAACTATTTACCTTTAACAATACAACGTGCTCCTTATTTTATGGGAAATAGTATGTCAGTGTTAATTTTTTGCATGCTACTATGCCTGGAAAGCACTTTGTTTGGTAATCCGAACGATTCGATAGTCCGAACCACCCCCGGTCCCAATTAGTTCGGATTATCGAGGTTCTACTGTAATTATAAAATTATTCGAATTTATACATATTTTTCTTTTAGGAAAATGCTTCGACACTGACGCTTCAGCAAGGGCTCATCCAATAAGTGCTTGGCTAATAGCATACATTCTCTTTTCTACTATAGTATCTACAATAATTACATCAAGATGATCAATAAAAATGTTAAGTGTTACATAATTATGAGACTGTTAAGGAAAAAGTGGTTGTGCGTCTATTTTAGCGAAATTTGAAAATGTGTTTTATTTATTTTTTTACAGAGAGAGTTATTTAAAAAAAACATTGGTAGGATGAAGAATGAATATATTATCTAATTTTATAAATTTTTGGTGATGAATTACTTTTTAGTTTTGGTTAAATTAGATTATTTGTTTAAAAACATTTGAACATATTTTCAAATTTCAAAGGTCTACAGTCAATAATGTAAAGTCATTGTTGTTATACGTTTTTACAATCATTTTTCATGAAATGTTAAGACTGTAGATCAAAATAATACAGTGTCTGTTTGAAATCATGCCATACAAATTTCTCAAAATACCCATTTAAAGAATACCACTATTATTTTAAAGCAATGAATTTTCCTTAATATGTTCAATGAATTTTTTAAGTTGCTTTTAATACATCTATATACTCACTGATCTGAAATTTTGTTTCTATCAATACTTTATATTGTATATTAGCATTAAAAGGACTTCTTATATAAAACTTTAACTTTAAAACATATTATTTATGATTTATTAACCGATTTTCATTTTGTTTCTATAAATTATAATAAAGCCTAATGATATTTTTTTCGATGTTATGAAACGAATACGTAATAGTATATTACATAACAAGAGTAGTAAGAAGCTAATTATAGGCGAGTAGAAAAGTTGCGCACGAGCCGCGTTAGCGGCGAGTGCATGTAATTACTCTTACAACTAGAGTAATGTACTATACTTTATCTACAACCACAATTATATATTCTTAATAACGAGACAGTTTTCGTTATCTATAACATTTATTAAATACATCTAATTAAAAATATTGTAAATTGCAAATGCAACTACTAAATTAACTAAAGAAAAATTGTTTCCAATACCAACCTTTGTTAATATTATCAACAGCTTCATTTAAATATTTACTTATTTCATCAAAACAATTTCTGCTTTTAAAAACTGTCTCACTGTTTTTAATTTTGGGTACGTCTTAAAATTCACTTTATTTTATATGGAAATAACGATTCTTGATATAGAATACATTGCGTAAAATGGCAGGTTTGAATTGTTCCATAAGTTCCTCAAAATATGCCAAAAGCAAATTCTCAAAGAATTAATTTACATTGTTTTTTATACGTCAGTCCATAAGCTATTGATATACTATTTCTTATCTTGCCCTTGATTTTAAAGGATGTAACTTGTTAGTAATATTAGCAGCTTTTATAAGAATATCAGGAGTTCCTTGAAATTAATTTTTCCTAGGTATCTGACAAACTCATTTTATTCTTAAAAAAAAATAATTTTATAACTACAACAATGGCGATTTTTCTATTTCTGAAATGTCAGAACTGTTTATCGTAACTATGGCGATCACCTAGCAACGGAGTAATATGGATAGTTTGATAAATGAAACTGTTATGTAATTTATATAATTACGTAACAATTTTGGGATTAATGATGTACCTATTTACTTATAAACAAAACGATACATAATATACGATTTACCGTGGTGGTTGTAGATAAATATATTAAAAGAAATACTTTGCTTGTCTAAAGTGAAACCGAAGTTTTTGCTCAAATTGCATACAAGATTTTTCTACGATCACATTCTTTTATGAAATAGGTGTATAAAAAAAAAACATGAAAAAGGAGTTAATATTGAAAATCAATATTAAATAGATGGTAAAACAAACAGTTTATTTAATATTCAAAACTACATACCTACAAATTAAGTTAAAATTCATTTATTGCAAATACCTATTCAATATTCATTATTCACACAATCTTGTTTTTAAGAACTGAAACTATCATTATTTGAAGTGTTGCGTATAATGTATTGCCTACCTTCTGATTATCGTAATCTTCCTATACTTTTATTTTTAAACTATGAGGAGCGATTTGAATTTTCCGCTCCTAATCGTTAGCTTCTGATTGATTATTTGACAAACAAGTTCATATAGGTATACCAAAATATCTAATAATGATATTTAACTGTAATTTGACACATTGTGGTTGAACATTTTAAAAATTTAAAATTTAAGTGTGCTTATTTCTTTCTCTCTAACTACCTATTGTAGTTGTGAAGACTAACTAGGCAATCGTTTTGTATTACTTCTGTATGCTTTCTTTATTAAAATGGATATTACTGTACAACAGTTCTGTAAATATATAGCCTCCAAAAAGAGGCAAAAAATTGTATTAAGGCATTTATCTATGGCAGAGGAACAAACTATATAATAAACTTGTACAAATAAATAATAAGAAATGAAGCACTTATTGGAAACTAAAATTGTTAGTGTTTTATCTAAAATTGCTATTTATGTTCCTTAAATAAATATAGTAATAAATCTTCTTTATTTAACAAATATATACAAGCATTGTATGTTATGTTGGAAACGGAGTGTTAATACACTGCTACCCAAAAGATCTATTGTGCCCCCTTCTGTCGCTAATGCACCAAGGAAATGTCTCAATGCCTATAACGACCCTTCCAATCCTATCTTCTCAAGGAAGTGTAGGATTTGGAGTGGCTTCAAGTTAGGTAAATCTAGCTTTCTCCTAGGTATAGTGCCCTTGGATTCTGGAGTGCTACACATTCAGTTAGGATGTGAAGGGAGATTTCGTCCTCCTCCTCACAGAATCTGCACTCACTTATCCTCTACTACTCTCAGTTTACTAAGGTGTCTTGTTAGTCGGCAACGTCCGGTAAGGATCCGTATTACAATACGTAGCCTGTTCTTGCTCAGGCGGATGCAGGCTCCCGATCTTTTCTGGTTATATTCACCCAGAATTATCTTAGCCTGTCTCAGCCCCAAGAGATTGTTCCAATTATTGGTTCTTCTACTGCCCAATTCTTTTTTAATCTCTCCTAATATTATGTTACTGCTGATACCGCAGAACGGCTCAGGTCCTACAAAGGGTGTTTGAGCCCCTTTCCTTGCAAGACTATCTGCAATATCGTTACCATGTACCTCGTTATGTCCCGGGACCCAAGTGAGAGTAGCTATATTTTTCTCGCTTAGTTCATTCAATTGTTCTAGGCATCTCCAGACCATTTTTGAGCTGAATACGTAAGAGCTCAGCGCTTTGATGGCTGCTTGGCTATCGGACATGATAATAATCTCTTGTCTATAATAGTTTCTCTCGATGTTAAACTGGATACACTTCTCGATGGCATGAATTTCCGCCTGGAAGATGCTTGGGTATTTTCCCAAGCTTTCGGAGTGCTTGGTTCTCGGACACTACACTTCTATTCCAGTTTCTTCTATGGTTTTGGAACCGTCCATATACCACTGAATAGCATGTCTTTCAGTTGCAAGCGCGATGGATTCTTGGCTCCATTTTTTCTTGCAGTCAAGCTCTGTGGTTTTGAAGTTTTTCACAAAACTGTACTTCTTTAGCATTTCATCCTGGGGTATGTCCCAGGTATCTTTAGTCCTGAAGCAAGTAGACTTTCGTCTGATTACTCCGTTTCTGATCATTCTATATCGTGTCATTTTTGCCACATTCTCTATCATCAAATGTAGAGGGGTGAGGTTTAAGATCACCTCTATTGCGGCCTGCAGGGCAGATCGGTGATGCAAACACATGCTAGTCTTTGTACTTTTGACATATTAGCTCTCGTAGTAGCTAAACTAGTTCTGTTACTCCAGACTATAGCCCCGTAAGTAATGATTGGTGTTATTATTGCAGTATACATCCATCACAGTATGTTTGGATTACATCCCCATCGTTTACCCGCAATGTTTCTGCATACCATTAGGGCTTTTGTGGCCTTATTTACTACTTCCTTTTTATGTGTGTTCCACCGAAGTTTGTTGTCCAGGGTTGGGCCTAGATATTTGACCTTATTTTTCCATTTTATATCTATCCCGTCTAATTTAACGGTTTTGAGAGTAAGTTTTCTTTTCCTTGAAAAGGCTACTAGGGTTGTTTTAAAAGTCCCACTTTACAGCACACAGGATATTTCCAAACTTGCCTCTAGCAAATATGACTATGTCGTCGGCATAACCTTGATGTCATAAAGTCATGACTATGTTCATAAATATTAGCGGCAGGTGCAGTGTTTAATTTATTTACTTCCAAATCGCTATGATAAAGGTAATGGCTATTGACACTTGGCGATAAAATAAATGACATTTCCCAACAAAAATGTTGGTCTCCGATATATAGGAAATAATGTTTGAGTTGCTAATTATTTCAATGACGATTATAATTTACCAAATCATTGAAACATTGGCATTTAAAACAGTGTTCCTTAAATTAGACCTTCATTTTCCACAAATTTCAAATTCAACTAAAGATGGATTTTTCTAACAGAGGGTACACATTTATAATAATAATAACAACAACAACTGCTAACATAAACTTATTCTAAAAAAATAAACATTAAATTATAATTAAGTAAATGTTAATTTATTAATTTTTTTGTATTTTTTTGCTTTCCAATCCCTATGCATTCGTCTGCAGACTCTATACTTAAGTGGCAGTAATTTAGGTACACCTGAAAATTATAAAATTTATATATACTTGCATATTTATGATATTCCTACCCAGACAGCACAAGTCAATCCGTTGGATGTCCATCGGATGTCCATTGATGGACATATCCACTGTCCAAAGGACGTCCAGCATTTTACCAAAGGACATTCAGTGGACATACACTCTTGGATGTCCATTTGGACTCCATAAACGGTCCATATATGAACTCCTTTTGTATTGCTTTTGGCAATTTTTCTACATTAATAAGAAATAAAATAATTGCAAATATTGTTATATTTTTAGCATGTATTGGTTTTATACGCACTCCTTTCTGTTGACGTTCTCGGCCATTTTCTTAAGGCAATTTCGCTTACCTTTTAAGCAACATCATTGTCCACTCGCAACAGCAGCTAAAAAAACATTACATTTTATACGAATATTAAGTCTTAAATCATTCTTTTAATAAATGACTGATCAGGCAAAACTGAGAGTTAAAAATATAAAACTAATATAAAATTATGCATTGACTATACTTTACCCCTATATTTACATATAAACAAAAATCTGCTCATTGTTTTTTAAATGACCATGTTACTTTCATACCATCATATTATGGCAACAACACATCTTTTTATTATTTCATACATGTTCTTACCCTCTGGTTCTGGTGACCGTTGAATCTAAAATTGCAATAAAAATAACGGGTGGGCCATTTATATGTATATATATAAATTAGCAACAATTAAATTTTTCCAAACAATATTTCTTCCGATAAAGTATGGAAAATTATTTCATTTAAGTGGCCACCCTGAGTGGCTTGGCAGTAGCCCATCCTGGAACACCAATTTTCAAGCACTGTTTCAACAGTTTGCTGCTATATTTGAGCAATTTAAGCTTGAATGTTCTATTTTAAGTGGTCAATTCTTTAAGGATTATCCGCATAAACTTTATCCTTCA